ACATTTGAAAGGAACATCTATGCTTTAACTGCTCTATTCTCTATGGAGTTGCAGATCAGATTTAATTAGATAAGTTTGTGTCTGCAGTGATTTTTTTTTTACGCTTCGCATGTCTGCAGCCTTTGAAAGGACCACAAAGAGACTCGGGTTTCAGGTGCTGTGTCATCAGTTTTGATCATGTTACACAACTGAATGCCATAATGCTTTTAACAATGTAATATAGTGAATTTAATCCATATCTAGATATTAGAAAAGAGAAAGTGGGCTTTAAAGCTTTTTTGTTATTTCAGTTCAATACTTACTGCTAAAATAATAGCCAGCAACAAATGGCGATATTTATTATGTCAAAATGCATTTCTATTTAGCTTTCCTGGAAATTGGGAAAAACGTCACACCCTAACTTATATATAATGTCTATAATCTATACACTGCAGATGATCTTTGCTACTCAGTTATTGATCTTTCACAGGTTAAATATCATGTATTTCTGTTTTAAGGACATTTGTTGTACTGACATTTTCCTCTCTATGTATTTCTGAATTTTTCTTACAGTAGAAAAAGTAATTCACCACAAATTATTTTTCCTTATATAGGTAATCAAATTGCCACCTATTCTTAAGCAATTAAAGAATATAGAGAACGTAAAATCAAGACAGTGTTATATCAGCAACTTTTACCCCCCTTTTAAGTAGTTTAGTTAAATAGTGATTAAAAAATCCAACGTATTTATAGTATTAAAGGCTTAGCATACAGTTTCTTGTACCTGTTATTCTGAAGAGGTCTCCTTTATTGATATGCACTGCTTTTCCAAAGTTATGCTTTTCATAAAAACAGATATGGGAAAAACAAAGACTGAATATTTCATTATTAAAAATATGTTTGACCGTAAGTGCAAGAAAACAGATTATAAAATTTCTCAAACAAGTGAACAGAAACATAAACAAAACCAGGAATGCTTTAATGTGTACTACAACAGAGCCTGATTGTAGCAGCACCATTTAGCATCTCTGTATAAAGGTAAAGTCTCATTGTGTGTTTTCTCCTTGCTAGGAGTTAATTCCAGAGTTTTACTATCTACCAGAGATGTTTGTCAACAGTAATGGCTATAATCTAGGAATCAGAGAAGATGAAGTTGTTGTGAATGATGTTGACCTCCCCCCATGGGCCAAGAAGCCTGAAGACTTTGTCCGTATCAACAGGATGGTAAGCTGCACTTTAGTTTAGCCTAAGTAAGGAGTTCTGTGTTTTAATAAGCTAACCTAATGCTGTTTTTCATCTCTTTAGAACTAGAGTTATAGAAATAAAATAAAAAGTGAAGGAGAATTTGCATTCCATCTTGCTGGACAGAAACCTTTATTTTACAATGGATTTTCCTTCCATGTGCCCAAATTATGGAAAATGAAATTCAGTTATTTACTCTATCCTAAGAATCAGATGGGCATGAGCTGGACAGTACAGGATAGCCTGTAAAATTTAAGTCTGTTTCTCCTCACCACCTTCTACATCAAAAAATAAAGGGTTATTATAAATGCTGGTATCTTGCAAGATATATTATATTCCTTACTCGACTGCACTTCCTATTCATCAGAGATGAACTGGAAGTGTAGAAATGTGAACGTAAGCCAACAACTGCAGTCTCTGAAGAAATTTTGCAGAAGAACTGCTCTGATGTAAATCACTATGAAGTCTGCAGAATTTAAGCATGAAAAACATTTATCTGTTGTACATTTTTTGCTTTAATTTGATACATAATGATTTAATTAATGATGGAGTTAATATCTACGTATGCTTCTAGTCATTTTTAGGAAAAACAAGGTATATTCTGATGTTTTGGCCAGCAATAGTTAATTTACAGTTCTGTTCTGGAAATGGATCTTCCTTAAAATGCATATTGCTTGTCTTGCTTATAGAGTCAGGACTATACTTTCAATAAGGCTTCCATACAGTTGCAGAACTGTTCAGCTTGTACATTATTCCCTATAGTGCTTTTGTGGTAGCATTGTAAGTCTAGTAGTGTTGGTTTTCTTCTAATCAGTTTGGCAATTTATTTTCAAGAACTGTCTATTCAAAGAAAATTGTTCTTCAGGAGTTGATAGAAAAAATAGCCATATGAAGTTCAAAAGAATAGAAGGATATTATAAAAACAAACCTATTCCTAGGTGTATATGATTTAGAAGTGTCCTCCATTTAGAAGAGTAAATGGTTTGACGTATGTACAGCAGTCTCCTAAGGAAGTGATGGCAACCTCATCACTTGAGACATGAAATGCACTACACAAAGCATGAGAAATGTGTTCCAGGAAGTAGTCCTTCATTGGCAGGAAGAAGCTGAACAACATTTTCCTTCTTTTTCTTGGCTGATTTCTCTTATAGATGCATATATTGTAACATTCTTTCTAAAAACAAGTAATTGTCACAGCTGGTGGCAATAAATTCAAGTGCAATTTTACTAGCAAAGAAGGAGGTGGACTTAAAGGATCACTACCCTCCATTAGCATTCCCGAGTGTGGGATGCGCAATCATAGGTACGTGTCTGCGGAGTGCCCATGTCGCTGCACAGAGCCCTTTTTTGGATTGTGGTTGTGGCTAAACCCGAACTGGGCCCAGGAGTAAGCACACTAAAGTTGACCAAGAGGTTTAGTTTTGACATCTGTAAGAACAGAAGTGTGATACCTTAGTGAAGAAGGATAACCAAGCTGCCACCTATTGGGGAATATATTGAGAGATGCATATTAATGACTCCCTTTGGGAAATCTTATAAAGAATGTTCCTTCTTGGATCCTAAATTGTGTTTCTCCATCTTTCCTTTCCACAAAGATGGAATGATTAATAGGAGGATAAAAGGCACTATGTGATAAGAGATCACTTGAACAAAAGCTTTAGCTTTAGTTTATTTGATTTCTCTCGTGCAATTTCTGCTTTGTAGAAAATAGAATAGGAGCTCTCTACAGAAAAGTTTTGTGCTGGGATATTTATGTCTGTTGAAGAAAACAGCTGCTTGTACGGATTTAGAGTATAGCATTTATGCCCCTTCAGGACAATACTTTCAAGAAAGGCTGGTAGCTAAAAGCTGGAAATACCTTTTAAATATTAAGCTGTAATAGCACTAATGACCGATTCCATACATGTGTAAGTATGCTCAGACTGCCATGAGACAGACAAACCATTGTTAGAGTAGTATTAGAATTACAGGCTTCAACTAATTGACTACTTCGCAGATTTCTAAAATCAGATATTATCTCACTTATGTATCATACCCTTCCTATACTGTCTTCCACCCCTGTCCCCACAGATGTGAGCATCACGCTGTTTTTATACAGTTTTGCCTGGAGGCATTTTCTGCATGGCCTTTATTCATCCCAGCATCTACTTTTAGCAAGAGCATGACCAGTAGTTAAAATTTAGTTCTACACAGATACATGCTATCTTCAAGTGAGTCGTCTGATGAAGTTCACAAATGATAATAAAGTTGGGAATTGCCTAGAAAACAGGAGAAAGAGGCATAGATTTATTTGAATTAGATGCAGAAAATACACTGAAAATCACCTCGGGAGGAAAGAATTAAAGATATTCAATAGGAAGCAGAAGTCTGGAAACAAAAATAGTGCCAAAACCAGAGCAGTAGCGAGGGAAGGGTGACAATGAGCAGCAATTAGATTAGATAAAACTCTGTAATTATATATTCACCAGAAATAAGTGTATTTTGATGCCATCTGTGGAGAATCATTGCATCACAGAGGATGTAAACAGTTGTACCTGTCTATGGTCCTTTTGAGACTGCACCTGGAATATTAGATTCACTTCTGGGTGACTAGATGACAGAAGTAGTATTCACATGTGGATGGATTTCAGAGGATAGACTTTGGGATGTTTAAAGAGCATGATATATGCATAAGTTTTTATAAAGCTTATTATAAAGTAGCAAGTAGCTAAAGAAGGATAATCCCTTTCATGAAAATGCAGATAGTATGTGTAGTAAGAAGTAATGGAATTACATTTTGAAATTGTAATAATTTCAATATGTAATAATTTTGCAGAAAAACTTCCTCATGTAGGGTTTTATTAGCACATACAGCAAACTGCCAGTACACTCTCTTTTTGGTCACTAGAACTAGACTGGTCAAAGTAAGGAACAAATATAAAGGGATTGGAAAGTTTGACATTCCCTACCTAATGTCTGATTCCATGTTTTGAACCGGCCAGCAGATGTATTATTCAGTTAGGTCATCCCCAGGCCAAGCTTTGGCTGTTATACAAGAATCTATCTTGAGAAAAAAAATAGCCTGGGTGTGGTGCTGACGTGTAAAACACAGCAAGCTTGTGCAAGCCTGGAATTTCTACAGCAACTTAGCAAAGCAAGTAGAGAACATGTTTACAGGAAAGCCACAGAAAATTGAGGAAAATTTCAAGTAAGTGTTATCCTGATCCCTTGCCTAATGAAATCAGCAGTAGTCATTTCATTTCAGTGGAAAGGATCCTGTGTGATACTGTGTAACACACAGTGGGATCTTGTTTTTCCCTAGCTGACAAGATTTTCTTCTGTTCATACATATTTTTTTACTTGCTGCAGGCATATATAATGTGTAATTTTATGTGGGAGTAAATACAAATCCTTATATACAGCCTACTCACACATTTATGAATGTAAACATTTTCTTTAAATAACAGCAAGAATTTCAGCATTTCATCCTGCGACTTACCAAAGCAAGTAAAGAACAGTCTAGAAAACATCACAGAGGCACAGTGACATAAATCAATGTAATTTAACCAATTGGTTAACAAGCTTTACTAAAATTCTGTGCAAATTAATGAATGGCAGGCAGGGTTTTGGTGGTGTTTTATTTGATTGTTCAGCTGTGTGTTTTACATTTCTAACTAAACACAGAAATGGATGTGGAAATGGTTTTCCATCAAAAGAGATTCCTTTAAACTTGTGAAAATTAGACTTATTATAAAGACTGGAAAAGACATTCAGTCAAGTTACTTTTAAGACCTATTACAGTAGCTTCTAAAGCACTCAGTGTATACATCAGGGATTGTTGTAGCAGTTTTATTTATCCATACAAAGCTAGACTGATTACTACGGAGTTACTCATGAAACATTAATAAAGCACTATGTTCAATGCTAACATGATTATGGTCTGACCTCGGCGATGGCACAAAGGACAGAGGCAGAAAGTGTCCCTGATAACATTACCCTAATGCTGGGCTCATCAATCATAATCTCCCAGTTTACCAGGAAAAAAAAAACCACGCATAAAACCTTCCACAGATGTGCATCTATAGTCCTACTCAGCCTCTCAATCCCCACAGACTTAGAGCAGTCCTGAGAGCCAGAAATAGAACAGATTCAGTCAGTAAGTCAAGCATGTTAAATCAAGGCAGGGAACACCACTGTGAAACACTGAAGCAGAGTTTTTATAATAAGCAGTCTTTAGTTTTGAAACAAAAGATGCAAGGTTGTGTAATTCAAAGTTAATTATAGTGATATTTTCATTATGGCTTAGGCACATATTAAATTACAAATTACAGCATTGAGTAAAATGCATTCACTATAAATTATATTTTTGAGAGACTAAACGGTGTCCTGTTTTTGTTATACATATTTTGTTCCTATTACATAACTGTTACTAAGATTGAATTTTCTTTCTGTCTTTGAAATGATTTATTTGCACTCTTCTACTGCCAATTACATTTTTGTACAGTTCCCTGGCTATTCAGAAGCATGCATAGTATTTCATAATTAAAAAGCTTCTTGAATAGTCATTAGAAACATCTATTATGAAATCTCTGTGCAGTGAGGATCTGGAAGATTTATCTTTTCTCCTCACCATTCAGCAGCAGTTGACATTCCTTTTTTACCAGATAAGCAGTAGATAAGATTTGATATTACTTCCTCAGTAGTAGCTTTGATTTTGTTTTGTGTATTGCCAAGGTTTGTTCTCAATGCAATTAAAACTCATTCAGCTAACAGGGGTTTCAATCTAATTTGGAATCGGCAGTGATTTTTTTTTAAACTTTCTATATCGCTGAAGAATCTTATTTACATCTTGAAGATGCTTACATAAAGGATCAGTTTCTGTGCAGACATCCCTGAATAACCCAAATCTGTAGAATACACTTCTATGTCGCTTTTATTAAAATATTACTTTGTTTAAATGAACATAACTAATTTCAGGTATCAGTATTGCCTGTTTTATTTTA